TTGCCATCAAATGCTTACGCGCTGTGCTTGATGTCAGCTGCCTTTGATTTTCAAGATTTTTCGTATGTACACTTGAAGGTATCTGGTCTGCTTTTGTTCCTTTGATCTTTTGCGTAATCTAACGTACATTTTCACGATACCTACGCTACCAAGCGACACAAAAATACAGGGAATTTCGTGGTTTGAATTTTTTGCTTTTAGGGCATGTCACCGTAACCTAAGCAACGTAGCAGGCTAGAAAATTAGAAAATCCTTTGGAGACCATCTATGAGTTTCTCTGCTTCTAATTGCCAAATAGATGAAGATTCGAAAAGCATGCCAGCAGAGATCGTTCAGGAAATTTGTTTACGGCAGCCGAGTGTCTGAAATTTTGAAAAGGCAAGCTATCGGTGGTTGCTTGTAGATTTTCTACAGTTATATCTATGTATGCCTTCAAAAAGGCACACTATTATTTTTTAGAGTATTGCCTTATCTGTTTGCTGACGTAACTTAGATACATACTTTAACTTTTTCACGAAAAACGGAAAATTTTACAAACTATTTCGGCGTTTCACCACGTCATGTTTTTCCTGAACTTTTTGACTCTCCATGGCTAGTCTGTCCTTAAGAGTACTCCCCCGGAAATTCTCAGACTTTTGAAAAGCTGCCAAGGCTAGTCAAGGCTTTGAACACAAAAAAGGTTCAACTATTCCTTACCTCACGACTTCTCGCCCTCGCCCACCCACCCTAACAAAAGCCCCTGAAACAATGGCCAAGGAGGTGTCGTAGGTTACTCTGGCTTCTTAGTACCAAGGTATTTCTTCGTGTGGTGTGGTCGACAGAGCCTTCGTTGGTGTCGTCGCCTACTTCCGGGGGCCCAGAATTCCGAATCCTGAGCTGCTCCCCCACCCACCAGTGTTTTTGTTTCTTCTAGTGTCTATTCCCGGATCCTGTTACTAAGTGTGTGGGCTGCGGGGGAGCCGGTCAGGCATAAAGTTGGTTTCTCTGGAGCCGGAGCATTTCAGAAGTATCAGAAGTGGAGTCATTGTTTCTTGGCTTGATCGTCATGGCGCACTCCCACTTAAATATGATACGTAAGACGCACGTAGCCTTTCGGCGGTCTCCAACCTCTTTAAAAATACCTTTTCCCTGCCTTTCAGCTTGGAATACGCTGGCGTTGGCGACTAAAACACTGAACAGCTTCTAGGCTATTTTTGCCATTATGTTTTGTATCAAGGTGAAGCGGCATCGTGCCTTAACTTTTCATAAGTCATGCTTCCGGCGTCTATTTCGCCGTGATCTCTGCCAGTTTCGCTCTCTCGTACTCTTTCTCTAGCTATCTCTCTCACTATCTCTATCAGCATCTCTCTCTTTCGCTCTCTGACTCTTTCTCACTCTCTCGCTCTCTCTCTTTCTCTTTATGCTATCAGCATCTCTCTCTTTCTCTCTCTCACTCTTTCTCACTCTCTCTCGCTCTCACTCTCGCTCGCTCTCCCACACTATCTGTCCCTCTGTCTCCTTCTTTGTCTCTCTGAACCCGCAAAAACAAGGAAGGTAGTAAGAATGCCATTCCTTTTATGATATCACACCATCCTTCACGACCATTAGAGGCGGCCCACGGCTGGCGGCCTGGTTTTTGGACATCTAGCTGATTTCTTTTGCTCTAAGGTTTGAAATCAAGAGCAGATTATTAGCCGAGCTGAGCCAGACAAGGCTACTCAGGCCCTAGGGCCCCAGAGTCGAATTTGAAATTTCCGATTATAACCTTTACGCCCAATCCTGGATTCAGAATTCCACGACCAAACTCTTGAGTTTCTTTCAAGCCTTGCAAATCCTTCCATTTTAGTGTATTCCATAAAAAACTTTGTGACTCTTCCAAATCTGACGTCACCCCGTCACATCGTTTCATCCCAAAACGTCAGCTTCGATTTTTCAAGCCCCCCTCCCTCCACCCTGGGTTTATTTCTTTTTGGCTCAAATTCAGCATAACGAAAGCTAAAAACCTACAATTCTAAAATTTCTATTGTATTGTGTATTGATATGTTATTTTGAGAGTTAAGCAAAATTAAATAGATATTTTAAAAACATAAAAGTCATAATACCATATTTAAACCAGGTTTCCTTACGTAAACTACCATTATTTTCTAATAACTTTGGTCAATGACCTCCCAGAGATCTCCAGGATTACCATCGGCCACAAAAGTCGCCATTCTATAGAATTCTTCGAACAATAGAAGAGGGTGGTGGCGTTCATAGGACTGCGACGGCGACACGGCCGAGACCAAGTTTTCCAAGGGCCGGATTAGTATTATCAATTAGTGCCCGCGCCATTTGTACACGGCCGTAATATTTGGAATTTTCCCATCGACCTCCACAAATTATGCACTCTGGTCTTGGGTTATCTCCTCTCACTAGCGCGTTCTCATCCTCTCTCTCTCTCATTCTCTTTCTCATTTTCTCTCTCTCTCTCTCGGTCTCTCTCTCTCTCTTTCCAAACTACTTAGAAACTTTATTAATTATTTCCACCACCCGGAGTGCCTGCAGTAGTATACTAGAGTAGAAATGTCTGGCTCAAACATCATTTCATACGCTTGATACCGAATTTTAAAGGGCTTGCGAAGGCTTCACACTCTATTTTCTTCAGTGTTCCTTTAAATTAAAAATGTTCCAAAAATGCAGCCTGTTTTTTTATCTCTACCAGGAATTGCCCGAAAAATTGGAAAATAGTCCAGCCGATCCGGTATTTGATGGCCTATAAGTTATTGTTTTGACGGGCGCTTTTGGGCAAAAAACGCGCCATTTTCGGAAAATAATAATATATATTTTACAGACGCTCAAGAAATTAAAGTAGGCTATTAAAATGTGAATATCCTTGAGAAATTTAGTCAAAAGGCTATGAAATTTTTCCGCAAAAGCTCCTATTTCCATAAAAAAGGTATTTGAACAATTTTAGGCGCTTCCGGAATTATCTTGAACCTAAAAGGCGCCCACGCTTTGTCTAGTAGTTTCCTGCAAGCAGACCCACAACCGACAAACATTTTCCGGGTTCCCCGCCGAGAGTCAAATTCGCAAAGGGGCCGCCAGCTCGAATTCCATCAGGGCCCGAAACGTCATCAGGAGTTCCCCGGATTCCGCTATTTTGAAAAAGAACCTGACGGTCGCTCTCGATTTGCAAACACCTCCGGCCTTTTGTGGCTTTCCAGACGTTTAAAGGCACTAGGAAGCGCTTGGTGCTGCCCCTAAAGTGGCTGGGTCTCGACAGCTATACTACGTTTCTTTAAAAGCGTTATTTGAAGCAAGGATGTCCCATTACTTGGTTTTGGTGATCCCGGAGTCAATTGTAAACTTAGAGGGGCTCGGAACTCTGGTCCACGGCTCCCTGCGTTGAATCCTGGCAAATAGCCGCAGTCCGCAGCACGACCGCGCCGCCAGTCCTTTTGCCCCGTTTCGACGTGAAAACGCTCGAACTTGAAAATTCTGACGCCGTTTCTGTAATCCTCGTCGAATTTTGATCATTTTAGACGTTTTAATTATGAAAATTGACCAGAGAATCTTAGAATCGAGAGATTAAGTGCCTTACAAGGCGTAGCGACTTGCAATCGCCGAGTACATTGAGTGTGATTTTTTCAATTACAAAAATAACGTTCTTTTTTCAAATAGGTGAAAAACACCATTTTCCGATTTTTTTTACTAAATTTGAACTATTCCCATCCATTTGCCTTCTATTTTTACGCCACGTTGCTCATCCCACCCTATGCCGTCATAAGAGACGGATCTCTCCCCCGCCCCGTACCACGTCTCCCTCTCGTCTTCTCAAAATATTCAAAGCGATACATACGCGGAGAATCTGAGGAACTCCCCTCCCCGAAACCCAAAGAAACGCGCAGCATGTTTCCTAATCCGTGCCCCTCTTTTTGGCCCCTTTCCTTTTACTGCCAATAAATAAATGATATGAGCACCCTCCCTCCATCATTTCGGTTCCTGATCCGGCTGGGGGTGGGCGTTTCGCTTCCGGGCCGGCTTTGGAAAAAATCACTCCAGCGCGATGGTGAAAGTTTAGAGAATCTGGCTATTTTTGGCGGCCCGGCTTTTCCGGAAAGCTACTGGCAACATTTGAGAGTTCAGCTTGGGGCTTGGGACTTGAAGTGAACTGGACTGAAATTGACTTGACTTCTTGAACGGACTTGGGACTATTGCGCTTATAGTCGAATTATTGAAATTTAACAAACAAAATGGTCATTACCAGCTATCATAATTTGAGCATTATCAAGGAATTTCTAAATAAAACGGCATAATCGATTGTGACAACGTTTTCCGAAAAATTGAGCAGTAGCTATCGAAGAAATACCTCTGGCGTAGTGGTGAAAATTTAGAGATTCCAACTATTTTTGGCGGCATGGCTTTTCCGGGACTCTACTCGCAACATTTGAGAGTTGACCCACTGAATTTAGCATGTTTTTTACTATAAGGGGTATTTTTTACTAGACATACATAGATACGAAAAATCTATAGAGAATTAGGTACTGGACTGTTAGGGGGGGGGGAAGGCTTCCAGAAAATCCAAATTTTTCTCGGTAATCCTCCGTGCTGCCTTATAGCGAAATATAAACTACTCTCATAACCTTTTACACAGTTTTGAGATAGAAAAAGCTCATCAAAAATTCATAAAAATTTTCTAAAAGGAAAAAAATTATTCCAGCCCCCCGCTGACAGTCCAGTACCGAAAATCAATAGTCCCTAAATTTAATCATGCCTTTCGCCCTTCTTTAATAACATATCAACTTCAAGTGCCTAGTTTTCTCATTTTCCGGCAGAAATTTAGCTTTTTAGGCAAAAAAAAAATCTAGAAATTAATTTTCTTTATATAGCGAAATTTCAAAAATTTTCTTACACGTTTGCCACCTTTTTCTTGACTTTCTAAAGCCGAAAACGTATAACCTGTTTTCGTTAAATATTTTCAATATATCTCCAAATTTTGCACCGCAAGACCCTCTAAACGTCCCTTATTTTCCAGGTAAAACATGTGGATGCAATGGTTGAGCAGACGTTTCCTCCAGTGCTTGTTGGCACTCGCATTGGCAGTTGCCGTACTATCATCCCCGCTTCCCGCAGAAGATGGTGAGTAAATTATAAAAATTACTGCATTTAATTATACCCGCATTAAAATATAAGCAAAATACGGAAATAATTATTGAATAAGCATAGAAATGTAACAACAATGTATTTACAACAACAATAAATGTAACAACCTTATTTTTTTCAGATCGCGCATTAGCGTACGACGAGATGCCGATGCTCAGCGACTTCTATGATAAGTAGGTTCTTCGAATAGTCAAAAAGTTTTAATGAACTCTTAGATAAGTGTTTTATTAAACTTTTAGTCACAAAGGATATTTAGAAAATCAATACTTTAGCACTTTTAAGCGCTACAGTGCCACTAAATTCATATAAAGGTATTTTATTTTTCCGTTCTCCCAGTTGAGAAAATGACTGAATAGGCTAAATAAGAAATGAATTAATTCCTAGGATAAAACTACTTTATAATAAACTAAAAAACTCCCGCTTAATCAAAAAAAACGCCGCAGAGATCAAAGTCATGCTTTCGAAAATGATTTTTTCGAAACAAAGGAATTCGAAAAATTTTGGTCCAGCTAGCAACAGGAAATCGCCGCAAAGGTACACAATTCTAACGCTTCAAAATTCTAAATTTCGAAAATCTAGCTTCCTGAAAAATTACTTTTCGAAAAAGTGATTTTCTGAATATATGTATTTCCCGACAATATGATGATTGATCATAAATTCCGCGCCCTATAATTAGTAGTACGAAAAAATCGTTTCAAAGTAAATTAAAATACATTGCAAAACTCCTACTACAATTTCAGCGCCGTTTTCGACATGGAGAAGCGCGGTCTCCTCCGACTCGGCAAGCGCTCCCCACTGCGACTCGGGAAGCGCAGCGTGCTCCGACTTGGCTAATCCAACCCACCTATCCACCCGTGTGTCCAGAGTTGTGTCGTGTAGCCTTTGCCAGCCCCGATTTTGCCTATCTTTTCGCTTCTTCAGTTGTGTGCCCCCATCAGATCTTCGTGAAAGCCCCCACCCCGGCCGTCCTGCATAAATTCTTTGCCTTGTTTATTTATTACGCAAAGGAATTTAATAGTTTTGAAAGGACCCGACAATGTAATGGATTTTACTGGAAATGAATTCCCGCCGGGATTTTTTTCGCGATGCGCAGCGCACTCGCATGCCTTTCCATTGCGTAGTTGAGTTGAGTAGTTGATAGCGTCGCGGCGCCGGAACATCTTTAAGGGAATTCGGAATTTCATACGCAAAATTTGTTCATTTTTCGAAAAAACCCTAAAAAGAGGTTAGAAACAATTCCGCCATTTGTTTGAAAATTGGATCCAAAAAAAGGCCCCCTCCCCCCGATAATTCGAAACCGAAAATCGAAATATGATGTGGCAACGATTTTTCGAATCACATGATACGTGAAAAACCCCGAAAAACCTAGATTTTTGCTACGTAGAAATCTTGGCACGAAAAATTACGACATTTTCACACATTCAATGTGTTTTTATCGGCGCTACACGTAAAGCACAAAAGTCACAGGGTACAAAGGGAAATCAACCGGGAAATTGCCGGGAAATTACCGGGAAATCAAAATAAAACATCTTAAATCACAAAGGCGGAGACACAGAATGGCGCACATTTAAAGGGCCAAAAAGCAAGTGAAAGATATCGTGTTTGGGACAGCCGATTTTTGCAGTGTTACCAGAATTCACGCGGGGGGTTTTTGAAGGGCACCGGTAGAGAGTAGAAAATACCTTACAAAACATCACCGTAAATTTTACACGTGAAAATACAGCATTTTACAGGAAATACATAATAGAACTACTGCTTCTAGGCCATCTCCTCGTCCTCGTCGGCGCTGTCGGACGGGCTGGAGTGGACGTAGGAGCAGAAGCTGGAAAAAGAAAATTTATATCATAAAAATTACAAGGATATTTTTAAAATATCCTTTTCTAAGGTCATACCGAAATTACAATTAAAGGGGCTCCGAAATCTGGTCCCGGGCCCCTGCTGTGATTCCTGGCAAATGGCCGATGCGGCCGCAACGCGACCGCGCCGCATTCCCTTCCCCCTTTTTTGGAATGGCGGGGTTTAAAAATTCTGACACTATTTGAAACCCTCTTCAGCATAATCCGCACATAAAAGAAAAATAAATGACAGAGAATCAGAGAGCAAGAGAGAGTGGGTGCTTCAAGCAAGAAAATCGGGGTTTTGCGCTGACAGTCCGAATACCCCCCAAAGATTCGGTTTTTCCATTTTACTTTTTTCGCAATCAAATCACTTTTTACTGTGTTTTCCCTTTTTTTTTTGCTTTAAATCATTCAGATTATTTTTTAGGCCGAGCCCTTTGGGTATCAGAAAATTTCAAAACCCCAAAAATCATTAAGAAAGAGCTTCAAACCGAAAAAACACTAGATAAATCTCAATACGTCCGGATTTCATTCGCATTTCACTCGCAGCAAAGCTTGCTCCCGCTAGCAGACCAGAAACAAACGAATTATCGGCATTTTTAGCAAAGCATACAAAAGGGCCCAAATCTTTCCGAGCTATAAATACCAATAAAAACCATGGTCAGCCGAAGTTTCAAAGAAAAAATTTAAAACAAAAAACTCTCACTAAAAACCGATGTTTTGGAAAGCTCGGAACCTGTTTTCGATTAGGATTTCGCTATTTTGGACAATTTGCCGAAAAGTGGACATTTTCGGGTTTTTGCTAAAAAATGCTTAAAAGGCTCGATTGAAAATATAATTTCGCAACGACAGAATTCCTTAGATAGTCCACTTCATTTTTGTGAAATAAATCTTATGAGGCCGAAATCCGTAAAAATCCGAGTATATCCGTATTTTTTTTTGCTCTGCTATTTTGCTCTGACAATTCGGCTGAACATAGTTTCTATGGGTCTCCATCGCTGGTAAAAATTTGGGCGCGATCGGACACAACACGGCCAAATGCGGATGGCCAAACACCCTGTAATATTTAAGAAAAACAACATACCGGTACCCGTAGATCTCCAACCCGTCGGCGCGCTTCGTGGGGATCAGGTTGAACTGGAGCTTGGCGAGGAAGGAGATCTTCTGGTAGTCGTCCGGCTCGCAGACGACGTGCACGCCGGCCGAGCCCGAGTACGACAGCACGGTGGCCAGCGTCTGCACGATGCGCTTCATCGCTACCGAGTCGTCGGTGCAGAATTTGGCGTGCAGGTGCTGAAAAAGAACTTGACTACCCAAAAAAATAGAAACTTACAATTCGGGATGGGTATCGTTGCGTGATGTCCGACGAGACGCCATGCGGCTTCCACAGGTTGATCTTCGCCTTGCGGTCTTTCTAAAAAAAAGCTTAACCCCATTCATATACATCTTCATGTAATTTATTAATTAAAGCAAAAATCCACACTTTCGGACAATCATTGTGTGGTGCAAAAAAATAACTATCACCGCCTTAAATGACCAGGAAATCGATTTCGTGCGAACAAAGCGCCCAGTTAAAAAACCCACTATATTTAGGCTAATAGGCCAAAACAACCTTTTCGCATTGATTTACATTTGGTAAAAGTTTCAGTTTTAGGGCCCAAATAATCAATTCGTTTCGGTTAATTTTCCAACCTAGAAAGCTTGACATCATAATGTACAAATTAGCGCCTAATTCACTACCAAAAGGGCCAAAGAATGTCGCGTCGCCGCCGCAATTGGCCAATTGCCAAGAGAACGCGCCAGGCTTCTCAGCGCCTCTAAAACAACACAAAATTATCACCTCATCCGGGATCGACTCCTTGTACTTCTCCATCATCATCGCCTGGTAGTCGGGCCAAATGTTGCGCAAGTATGTGTCAACTGAAAAAATCGGATTATGAAATTCCATCGTTAAACAAACTTAAATTAGCGAAAAAATCCGCTCACCATTTTTAATGCCAGTTCCGGCACAGTGCGGGTACCGCAGCCCCTGCGCGTCCTCCTCCACCCACTCCTCGTAGGAGATGAACCCAAAGTGCGGCTCCGTCGGCGAGAAGGTGTAAGGGCCAAAGTGGCTAAAAAGCATTGAATAAGAAAACAAAATAAAAATTACCGATCAAAGAGCTCCTCGTTCGATTCAGCCGGCGGTTCGCCGTTGCCGAAAAGATGATGGAAGTTGATCTAAACAAATCAATTTTTTTGCAAGCACGAAATTATTAAATTCTTCGATTATAAACTTTACAAGTACTAAATAAATATCTTGTCAATAAACTTAGGTTTAAAAAAACATAGATTTTGCCTATAAAGCCCATCGAAGTTACAATCAATATTCAGTATCCTAGCAAAATAATAAAAT